GGAAGGAAACAAGGGTGCTAGTCAAGAGTTCGAGGAAAGAACTGCAGACAGCAGTAAGGAAAAAAATAAACTAACACAGCACTACAAAGAAAAGTAAATTGAAACAGTCCTGAACTTACGAATAAAAGAAAGAAAAACGAAATTAAAGAATTGGAGCCTGTGGACAAAAGAAACCGAGGCTGGAACGCACCGAGCGGATCCGTACAGTCATGCTTTTTTGCACCGGACTTGAAGTACTCAGGTCATTAAGTACATGAATGGTTGCTGCTTTACATCTACCTTTTGCGATCACTAGCGTAAATCGTCATAAATTTTGCATAAAGTAAATGTACTCCATTTAACAGTCGTTCTTTAAAAGTATCCTTGCTGTTCAGTGAGAAATTTCTTCGCCAAGACTTTTAAGTGCTCGCACGTAAGATCCACGCACAGCTCAATGCTGAATTTGAAATACCTAAGCTGTATTTGGAGAGGGAACATTCCCCTAAAATTTCAGTTCCCTAGCTTTTCTAGTTCCCGAGTTAGTAATTTTCCCGCAGAAACTTTTATACGCCTTTACGTGAGTGCCAAGCAAAACTGAGGGCTAAATTTGAAATGTTTGAGTTGAACTTGAGCAGGGAACATTCCCCCAAAATTTCAGCCTTGCAGTTTTTCTGGCTGCCGAGTTAACAATTCTTTCGCCAAATCTTTCACTTGCTCGTACGTAAGAACCACGCATGCCTAAGGGTTGGATTTGAAATATAAAGTTATACTTGGGCAGAGGAAATTCCCCTAAAATTTCGGCTTTCCTACTTCCTTGATTCCCGATTTGGCAGTTTTCTCGCCAAAAGTTTCATTCGCGCTTACGTGAGTGCCACGCTTGCCTGGGGGCTGAATTTGAAATCTTTAGCGAACACATGCGCAGGGGACATCCCTACAAAGTTTCAGCCCCCTAACTTGTCTGGTTTCCGAGATCGCTTTCCCGCCAAAAAATTTGCATATTTTTTTAAAACATTCGTACGCAGCATCCAGGGGTCCACGGGAGATGATATTAAAAAGGGTCGCGCATGATATGGCCACGTATTCCCAAAGTTTCAGCCCTCTAGTTTTTCTGGCCCTTGAGTTATCAATTTTCCCGCCAAAACTTTCACTTTCTCGTATGCGGGGTCTAGACGTGCGTGAAAGTTGGTCCACACTAGGCAGTATGATCGAATATACACGTACAGCAGATTTCAGCAACCTTTTCACCAGTCTACCACATTCTCACATTATTGATAACCTATTCTACTTTGTTGACCTCTGCTTCACCTATGCTGGAAAAGAATACATTGTTGTAAGTAAAACCCATACCTGGTATGCTAATGAATTCACGGGTGACTTCATATCTTACGCAAAAAATGAAGTCAAGGCCACGTTTCGAATCATTCTTCAAGAAACATATGTACGCTTTAGCGGCTACATTTTCCAGTAAATACAAGGTGTACCAATGGGAGGTAATGCTAGTCTGGCTGTTGCCGACCTCACATTATCAGTCATGGAGTTCCGGTTTCTTCGTAGGAATTCCCGTACACATCTTCATCTTTTTCGATATATCGATGACATCCTTATTATTAACTGCGTCAACTTTACTGAAATCGCCAGTAACATCTATTGGCCCAACTTGCAACTCAACACCACCTACTTCGCACAAAGGGCTTGCTTCTTAGACCCCGAAATGCCAACAGGGCACATGCATCTTTAATGTATACAATAAGACCCTAGATTATTCGTTCACTATAAATCATGAAGCGTTTCCAGATAGTGATATGGACCAAACGGTGCAAGAAGGTGTCGTTATTTCGCAACTTTTTTGTTATGCACATATATGTACTCGTTATGCACATATATGTACTCATCCAGAAAGATTTCAGAACTGGGCTAGGCGTCTTATAAGTATCTATAAGCAAAAAGAGTTTGATATGCCAGACTAGAACGCTCCGTTCTCAGATTTTGCTGCAAGAACCGATCAGCACTGAGCAAATTCATCTTCCCTGATGATTCAGAAATTAAACGCCTAGTCAGCAGTCTATTCTTGTAAACGGCTCTTTCTAATAATTAAATATAATGATTGTCGGTATCGTGTTTTAACTTCCCTACTTTGCTTCCTTTCTGTTTGCTCCTTCATGTTTTAAATTCCCTTCTTCCCTTCCTTTCTCACTTTGTTTGCTCCTTCACTCATATTATTTCTTCCTGTCATCCGTCTTGCAAATTAGCCACATGACTGTTCGAAACATGGCGGGAAAGAGGCTGTACTGATGATTTCCACTCCTACCTGCATGCACTGTTCGGTCTGTGTATACTAATAAGGAATTTAACACAGACTGCGTCATAAAATGTCTTCATACACATGACATTCAAGTGAAATCCTATTCTTCTATTTCATTGATAGGGAAGCCCCATACTGACGACGGGCTTTTATGGAACAGTTTCTAGTAGAAAAACCTCAGTTTTTTGCTTTTGCTTGTAAAGTCAGATTTGCTTCAATTTACTTTTCTTTGTTGCGCGTGTTGTCTTTACTGCTGTCTCCAGTTCTTACCTTGAGCTCCTGACTAGTGCTCTTGTTCCCCTTCTCTACTCTGTCCTCAAATCCTGCTTGCAATGCAACATCTGGGCTCCTCTCCATCCTCACAATAACAGCACTGTGCAAGTAAGCAGTTGTCACCTTTGCCTATCCCCAAGTATACACGGCAGAAACCAGGAGCACACTTCTTCATCTCCATTCATCACTTCCCCTCCTCCCCTCCCCTCTCCTCTTCTCTCCTCTATCCCCTCCAATTGCACATGACCTAGCCAACCGATAAAGGATCTGCGCAATTTAGTCCTTAAATTCACCTATTCCAGTCCTTCACCCCTGCCTCGAACGATACCTGCCAAATACCATCCTCATTTCCACCTACCACATTCAAACTCCTACCTTCTGCCACATGGCAGCCCTACCAGTTGTTGGAAGAAAAAATTTTTTGCGGGTCATGTATGACGTTGACCCAGTGGAGTTTTTATGCGTTTCTGCATATATGCAAATGCAAGAACGCATATTGGCAAAAGACTGTGCGTGTGTGTGTGTGTTCGTATTTTTTGTCACCCACATTCAACTCGAGAACCAGAAAAGCTAGGACGCTGAAACTTCGGGAGTATGTGTCCACACCATGTGTGACTCTCGCCCATTTTAATATCATCATCCGCATACGGTTGGGTACTGCGTACGGATGCTATAAGAAAATATGCTCTGCAAAGTTTCAACTCGCTATCTTCTCTGGTACCCAAAATCGCTCTCCCGCCAAAAAATTGGAACTTTACAGGGATATTCTCTATACACCCATGAGCTAAAAATTTCGAATCCAACCCCAAGTTGTCCACGGTTCACGGGTACGAGCACGTGGAATTTTTGGCGGGAAAACTGCTAACTCAGGAACCAGAAAAGCTAAAATTCCAAGGAGATGATCCGTGCCCACGTACAGTTTGATTTCAACTGCGCGCGAACCAAGCCTTCGTGGTTGCTACCCGAGCTCTTCTCCGCACCCGGATCTCACAGTCCCTGCCCCCACCAAGCACTCTCTTAACATCCCCAGGGGTAACATTTCCGATCATCAACAACAGTTTTCGCAACTCGCACATCAATCCGAATCGAATCGAGCCGAATTTTAGTAGTTTGTCGGTTTCATGTGTTGTTAGATCCGGGTTGGAGAGGCGGCGGTCGTGGTGGTGAAATTTTTGTCTAGATGGGGATCTATGTGCCTCGTTCAAACTTCCTGACTTCGCCCTCAGCACCAAGTTACATGCTGAGCATACCAAACTCATTTAGGCCCTTTTCCCAACGAACTCGGTTCCAGTTTCTAGTTGCTGTCTCTTGTTTGTGTAATTCATAGAGTAGTTTGCAGCTTGAAATAAATGTTGAAGAAGCTGGCCATGGTTACTGTGTTGGACGAGCCATCCCAAACTGGC